TACAACTGACAGCCGCTGTATAAAACGCAGGGAGAGCTGCAGAGCTCGCGTCAGCTTCGCTGTGCGTTTGTGCTGAGCAGGAGGGTGCACGGAGGAGTGGCGGGTACAGGGGAGGGCACCGAGTGGAACACAGACCTGCGCACTTGCAGGACCCACAGTCAGGCATTTCTTTCTTCTTCCCCTCTCCTCCCATAAAATTAGGAAAGAGACACATTTTAATGACAGTTTGCTGAAATGTGCACTCCCTGCTGATTTGACATTGGGCAGAAAAAGTGTCTACAGAATCAATTTTTAATAAATGTAAACAACTAAATTATGAATGACAAAAATATCACTGAACAGTTAAATATTAATCATGTAATTACTTAAATTAATACTTTTAGTGCAATGTTGTGATACAGAGTTTTACTTACGCGGCGTTGCTGCACTGGCTGGGTGGGTGTGCAGGGGGGACGGGACCGCAGCAGCCCCCCTGGCTGCGGGGCTCAGGAGCAGAGGGCTCTGCTTGTGCTTGCTGCAGCCCCAGCTGCTGGCTGTCCCACAGGTCCCACAATACTGGGTGCTCCTCTTAAAGCCCCTGAAACCAGATGAAGAAAGAACTTCAGTTTCCTGTTCAAAAAGAGTGCTGTCAATAAAATGGCTAAACTGGCCCCAAACCAGAAAGCACACACACACCCCCCACCCAAACTCTCCTGTCCCTGTGTGCCGTTAAACCCCCCAACAGCAGGTGTGTGATGTGCAAAGCTGTGGCTGTGCTCAGTGATGATCTCGGGAAGACCAAGGGTGCTCCAAAGGAGCTGGGGTGCAAAAAGCCCTGGCTGCTTCTAAGATGAAGTTGGGTGAGTTTATGAAAGAGCTGGTGTGCTCCAAGTTTGGGGGCTAGAGTCACTGCCCTGTGGGCCTGCTCTGTGCTCCCATCTCAACAGGCACTGCAGGAACCTTGCGTGGTAGAAAATTGGTTGCAAGTGTTACAGGGGGGGTGTGGGTAGTAGCAGCAGCTGTCTGTAGGTACTTGCACACAGCACATGGCTTCCTCCCCTGCCCAAGAAACTAAGAAAAGAATTTACTGGCACTCTTGTCCTTGTGGGTTGGCTGGCTGCGTTGTTTGTTTTTAATCTAATAAAAGGAGATCTTAATATCATAGTAAAATTGGTACAAAGCTAGAAACTCGCCCCTCGGCATTTTGGCGAAACATTATTGAAAATGTAAAAGCCTTTAGCAGAAACAACAGAAGCACAAAGAAATTGTAGAAATAGGATCAACAGGTTGTGTTCTGGATGTTGGGAGGAGCAGGGAAGAGCATCTAGCTGGGGCTCAAGGTGCCAGCGAGACCCACTAAGCTGGAGGCCTGATGTGGCTCTGCTCCTCAGGGATGTGATGCAGCGGTGGCCGGGAGCAGGGGCCCTGCGAGGGTCGGGGTGGGCAGCACTGCAGAGCGGTGGCTGGGCGGTAGGGAACAGCACATTGCTGGGAGGGACAGAGCAACTGAGGAGGAGAAACAGACGGCTGGGAAGAGCTGTGCACTGGGAAGATGGTATGAGCACAGCGGGACCTGGCCAGGGAGGTGGAGGCAATGGAAAGGCAAGCGTGCCATCCTTGGGTTTGCAGCTAGTTGGATTGGTCCTGGCTCAGTCTGCTCCCTGTCTGGAAATTAAATCTTGTACAGAAATTTTGAGAGTGTTACTAGATTAGTAAGTGAAGCATCTCGTGCAAAAGGTGGGAATGCTGAAGAAGTGATCATTGCTCAGACTCACCCATTGCTGTAGGATTCAAGTGCAGCTCTTCTTGCCTCATCTCTGTTTTCGTGTGCCTTCCACCTCTTCACAAACATCACTAGAAGCACCGTTCCTGTGTGCCATAAGCAAGTGCCTCCTGAAAATACCATTACGCAACTTGTTCACCAGTACAGTACCAGGCAGCATGAACACTCATAAAAACAACCATTTTCGGGGTGATAACTGCCCAATCTGAGAGCTGCAGCTGCTCCCCACAACTTTGACTCACATCACATGGCAGGGCGCTGGAGGAAGCAGCTTCCTGAGGCTGCCAGCCAGGTTGGTACCTAATTTCTGATTGAACATCAAGTTTACGCAGTGCAAAACCATTCCCATCCCCTCGCACTTGCTGACTTCCTGGCTCTCTGACAGCCTGTGCATATTTTGCGTCCACACTTCGGCGTGCAGCATTTTGTTCTGGCCACCCAAGACCCATTTGCTGAGCGCATCAGGTCCCAGTGGGGCTTGTGGTGCTGCCCCCGGCCGCTGTGCTCTTTTCCATGGCTTCATACATGATGAGTAACCCTGTCAGGTGAATTTTTGTTTTGAAGCTACCATTTGAGTTCACTTTTTGCTCTCAGTGTTGCATTTTCTGATGGACTTTCTACAGGTATGGTTTATAGTGGCAAGAAGGAAGAAGCAGGAACGCTTTTGGCACACAGTGTTACAACAGGCTGCAGTGAAGTTGGTTCTTGGAACATAGCAGCCCCCTAAAATGTTAAATAAATCCTTAAACTACTCATCACTCTGTTTTTGGGGTGGCAGTTAAGTCTTTCAACACTCTGCAAGTTTCTTTCCCCAGCAGTAATTTCGCTGGTGAAGAAATACAGCTCAGGGCACTGCACAAAGGCCTCAAAATTCATGTTTTGTTTTCATTACCAAAAAAATGCTTCACTACATTAAAGAGCAGCCCATTAAAATTTTGTACCCTGTTTTCCCTGCACCCTGTCATCGTTGGCAAACCTTCCCCCATACGCGCGGCAGAGCCAAACAGCAGCTGGCGTGTTGCTTTTTCAGACTTCACAGAGAAAGGGCAGCAATGGGGATAAGGTTTAAGCCACAGCCCAGCTTGTTCAGGTGTAAGATCTCAAAACTTTCAATAGCTGTGCAAATATACTCAATAAATGTACCGTGCTGAACCTTAAGCTGCTCTATCAGTGTTTCCTCTGCTTTCAGTCTAACCCAGCACAGCACTCTGGCTCATGTGCATGTCTAAGGAAATAAATTAACTGTCTGGTTCCTGGAATAAAATTTAACACTGTACAAAGCAATATATTTAACCGTCTTGGGCAAATAGCCCTAAAATAACAACAAGAAAGAAAATAATGCATTACTGGAGGCTTACCGAACCTTGGGATTATATAAATTAAATGTTGCAGCGTGAACTGGATGGTGTTTTCTGATACCGTTGAAAAGCTAGAGGTTGAAGAAAAACAGTACACGTATTATAATTAGGGTTTAGGGGAGCATTTGGTTATTCTCATAAGTAACTCAGACTAGCTGAATGCTGACACGGACACAAGAGCAGGCAGTAAAACCTGGAGCTTGCTTAAGAGGGCAGAAAGGTTTTTAGCTGAATTCAGTGGGGACTTGCTAAGTCCAGTTTTATTTAATATCTCCACAGTTAATTTAGAAATAAACGGCACGTTAATTAAATTTGCAACTAAATTAGCAAGTTAGAAGATCAGATCGAGGTGCAGCTGTCGAGAGCAAATCTCACCGTCTTGCATGAACCCACAGCCCAACGCAAGCGGCGTGGGGCACAGCTGGAAGCAGCAGCACTGGAGGCAGTGGCAGGGGACCAAACCTGCCCCTTCCCATCGCCAAGGTGGGCACACACCTTCCCCAGCCAGGCTGAGGTCTCTCGCATCCTGCTGCTGGGCCAGAAATCTTGGGGTGGGGCGGTGATGCTGGAAGGAGGGAGGCAACGAGGCTGTGGCATTTGCCAGCAGTGCTGGCCATTGCCTTTGGCAGGGCTTGGTGAGCTTGCTATCCACAGCAGGGGAAAGCCCTGCCCTGGTCACAGCGAGGGACGGGGGGGATTGCATAGCCAAGTCAAAGGGACAGCTCGACAGTGAAATCCAGCAGGCTGCCAGATAGTCTCTCGGGGAAATGGAGGAGTCCTCACTGGCAGGGTTATTTAAGACTCGACTTTGAAACACGAGACACTGCAGTTGGGAACAATGCTGCACTGTCAGAGAGATGGACTCAATTACTTAATAGGTCGTTGCTGTCTGTCTCCTGCGATTTTCCTTTCAAGAACATATATTCAGCTGGGTTATTTCTCATGGGAAGACAAAGTGTTCTGCAAGAAGCCAGGCGTTTGAAGGGGAGAGGCAGGAGGAATGGCAGCCAGGCAGATGCCCGGTTTGCTTTCTGCAGAGCATGCTCCTCAGGACATGGAGAAAGCTGGAGTGATGTAGCTGATGGGGTATTTTGGTCCTGTAACCAGCTGATCCCCCGGTCTCATAGCGCTCACTTCCTTTTTTTTGCTCATGAAAGATTTGCCATGTTTCTTTCTTCTACCAGACTCTGATCCCCAGGACTGCTGGTGGTGAGACTGTGGTGCCACAGGCAGTGGTGCAGATGCTGCACGGGCCATTGGTTGCTGGTTTGCCAAAACATTCAGCATTGAATGGCCACTTACCCAGCACTGACAGGTCCATACAGCTCATCTCTGTGTATGGGTGGCCTCTCTAGCAAGGAAAGGCTTTGATGGCGTTTGATCAAAATGACAGCCAAGCTGGAGGAAAAAGCTCATGGCCAGGAACCCATCTCCAAGTAACCATTCGGTCCTCCGTTAGCAGGACATGGTAGACAGGGATGTATAGGAGAGCCAGTGACGCATGTTCTCACCAAAATTTCTCTGCCAGCCGTGGGGTGAGCGTTTCACGGGCACTTTCCTTGTTGGGGTCATGGGCCTAATTCAGGGCCCTGATTCAGGGCAGCACGAGGTTAGCCCTAGGGCAGCTGCAGGGCTCTCAACTGCTGGTGTGCATGCCTGTGTCTGCACGTGCACACACGCTTCGTGCGTGAGAGCGTGCGGGTGCACACATGTGTCTAAGGCATCTATCTTTGTGCACTTTTTTTGTCACCAAATTAAAATACTGCGTTACCTTATGCACATTGAATTGATGCAACTAAATCGGCTGGATGTTCTTAAGCCCTGAGGGTATAATGAGATTTTGTCTCTTTTGCCCATTTCTTTTTCTTTTCTTTTTTCAGAATAAGTCGTCTGTTTAATGGCACAGAGCCTATTGTCTTGGACAGTTTAAAACAACATTATTTCATTGATCGAGATGGTGAAATTTTCAGATATATATTAAGCTTCCTAAGGACATCCAAGCTACTGCTCCCAGATGACTTTAAGGTAAGGAAAGCTATAGTCTGCAATCCATTTTTTCTTCCCATTCTGTCATCTGTTTCGGTGCAGGTTGGTTTGCGTGCTTGACCTAAACACACTTAACTAAACGTTGCTGTTTATTGTTAGGATTTTTAGTACTTGTGTATTACGCCAGGGATGCTATTATTTAATAAATGGACCAATGGTTGTCATGGATACCATAAAAAGTTAAACGATGAAGCTTACGGCTAAATCAGTTTTTCTAAACTAATTGTATTTTCTCACATTTTTAGCTTATTTATCAGAGTATAACAACAATTAAGAAACAACATCAGCAACTAGCACTTACCAGGGTTTAATGCTCAGAATCTGAAAGAAATGTTTTAAATTTGATTCTTAGAGGGCTTAAATTGTATAAATCTTCTTCTTGTTGGTATAGAAAAGAAACACTCTTAAAGAAGCCCGTGAGGATTTGTGTTAGATATAACCAATGCAGATACTTTGATTTCAGGAAGTAATCTTTTACACAATTTATGAATGTCAAAATATTCTTGGGAGATGGAATTTACTGAGGGTTTTTTAATGAGCGCTGCATGTTTTCTATGAAATAATGGCGCTGGTTGTTGCTTTGCAAATCCCGATTGTTTAAACGCTCTCCTCCTAGCCTTGTTTGTTTGGGTTTGCACTTACAAAACTTGCAACATTGTCATCCTTATGTATGAAAATTAGAAGACAAAAGTGTCCAAACTGTAGATGACAAGATTCAACAAAAGCACTAAGTCCAGGATGAAATGATGAATAAATTGGAATGGCAATGGGGATCTGCTCAGAGTTAGAGGACATGGAGCGTTGCTGGAGAGGAAAGTTCCCGTGCCGTGCAGTAAGATTTCACTTGGCATGTTAGACTAGGTAGGCAAGATACGGAGTCCATCCAGATTTGTGGTTGCTGTGGTGGCTTTAGCTTTGGAGTACAGCTGATCCTCATGGTATGAACAGCTCCTCAGCCATTCTTGCTTACGTTATGAGTATTTGGCCCAGCATAGGAGCATTTACAGTTAATGTTGAGCAGACACACTGTGCGATGGGAGCACACATCTAGTCCCAAGGCAGGGAGAAGTTTTGGCATTCACGGGTGATTTTGGAGCTCCAACCCCAGAAGCACTGTCCTGAGCATTGGTCTTTCTGAGGAGCAGCGGGCAGGCCGGGGAGGCTGGCCTGTGGGCTGGGGTGCTGTGAAGCAGGGTGAGAGCCAGAGCACTAAGGGATGGACGTGGGAAATGCTTTTTATAGAGAACTGAGAGAAAATGGACAGGTAGGAGTGAAGCTAGAGACCAGACCAGTTTTGTGGACCATAAGGTGGACCAAGTAAAAGGGGGGTGGATGGAGACGTTGTACAGGTGAAATGCCAGAGAGGTGCTTTTAGCGGCAGCATTTTGAATTCTCTGGTGGGACAAGAAGGTGTGAGAAGAGAGGGTAGAAGAGACGCAGTTCAAGCTCATCCTGGCCTCGACCAGCATCCAGATTTCAGAGGCGCTGTGAAACAAAACCAGCAGGATTCGGCAAGAGCCTGGAGGTGAGAGTGCTGGTGGATGCCAGGAACTTGTCTGCGCAGTGAGCCGCTGGCAGGGCTGGGAGAGACTTGGGAGAGCCGGCGCTGTGCCCGGGCTCTGTCCGTTGTTCCAGACCATCTCTTTGCATAGGGTTAACTGTATTTTAGTTAGTTCCTCCCTGGGAGAGCTTTAGAGCAAACCCCAGGCTAATGAGGGCTCAAGAACAAAGCAAAGTATTGCTAGGTAGGGAGTAACTAAATAAAAATGCGTAGAAGAATGCGCTGCAAAGCTATATTAAAACTGCATTGTAAACGGATTTGACTTCACAGAAATCGTGTAATTTTACCAGCATGATTAAAGTGACAGAAGACAATAATCAAAGGCAGCAAATGGAATCACTTGGTGTTTCTAAATGCAAAACTCTATTTAAGGTATAAAACCTGACAGGTTTTCCAGTGAGACTTGCATTAAATGTTCTTTATGTCAAACAAAGCATTATCAAGTGTTTTGAATATTTATTAGTTTTTACCCCTTAATTTAATCAAGCAGTTTATTAGCCTCAAGGTTTAGCCAAGTTGCTTTTCAACTTGAATTGCTGCTCAGATGGTTATTTTGGAAAGTTTGGAATGTTGGTACCACACCAGCCTTATTGTGTTTGCTATTTAAGTGTTGTTTTCAGACTAAGTTAACACTGAAATGCAGAGAAAGTGGGGTATGTGTTCCTAGGCTAGTGATTCTTTATTATCAAGTCTGACTGGTGTGTTTACAGTGCATATTAATTACACTTCCAACTACTAATAAGCCAGAACTTGAAATGTTTAGTATCTGACAGGTCGCCCTGCTGAAAGCAACACTCTAATAGTACATACAATTTTCCTGGGTTTGGGGGATTTTAAGCCACATGAAGTATGCTGAGAAATTACTATGAGTTGTTTGGCTCTGTTCTCCTTCGCAGCCAGCCTGCGCTGAGGGAGCCGATGGTGAGCAGCCCAGAGCTGCTTACAGCTCCCTCTTCCTGCACCCATCCAGAGCCCCGCATGTGGGACCACGACACCTTGAGCAACAAATGTCCTTGAGCAGAGCATGGAGCCAGCACCCCCCAGGCTGCCACGCTGCTGGGTTAGGCTGCCCTCCTCGGCAGCCCAAATATTCTTTGCCTTGACCCCCCCTGCCATCAGAGGTGTTTCCCCAGGACATTTATGAGCAGCATCTGTCCCCTTCGCTGCCAATACATAACTTCATGCAAAACCAGGATCTATCGTACCTCATTATTTGAGATTCACTCCCTGCTTAGAGATCATCAAACAAAAGTAGACATAGGCAGTGTGTATATTATTACTCCATCTCAAGGAGGGGAGGAGCACAAATGCGCAGGACATCCGAGTTTCATATGGATTATAGAGGTCACCTGTAGCACCGGAACCACCAGGCCAGCACACTAATTTATTAATACCGTCTTAAAATTAGTGTGCTTGCATCTAACTTCAAGTGCTCTCAAACTGACCTTAGCAAATGGCACAGTTGTCATCGTAGAAGTGAGCAACTTTCTCTTGTAGCCAGGAGTCAGATCTTCACAGCACTAAAATACAAAAGAAACGTTGAGTCAGGATGACAGTTTGTTGTCTCATATAACAAAGAATAACAAGTGAAAAATGGGCAGAAAGAGCCATTTCAGCCTGTGCAGGAGGAGCCGACATTAGGTACAAAAATAAAGGACCTCTTCAGTACTGAGAGAACAGCATCAGGTTCACGGGAGATGCGGTTTTACAGTTTCTGTTGGCTGTCTCTGCCTGTGGTTAGCGGATCTTTACTGACCCACTGGCACTGATGTCGAAACAGCAGCACCACTGGCCTTGCAGTCACACTTCCCGTCTCCTCCCCAGGAAGATGTCACCCTTGTCAGAGGTGAATGCAGAATTTAGCCAACATGAAATCCACCAGAGAAAAAGCTTTTCTACCAAATTGTGAGCAGAATATTATTTTGTGAAAGGCAAAAAGCTGCATCTTTGAAGATCTGTTTACCTTTCCTATGAGATCTAAATGTTGTCCAGAAGTGGTGGGTGGAGAAAGGCTGTGTGCATCCCACCTGGCTATCTGCTCCCTTTTCCAGGTGACCTGACAGAACTTCCTCACTAGTTTCTACAACAGCCACAAGAAGTCGAAGGGTCATGGTAGCTCATGAAGGCTTTTTGTGGTACTTTACAGCAAAATCAGAGGCTGGACTGTCCATTTCCCCTTTCAGTCTAGCAAGGAACACTCTTGATTCCCTGGAATCAAGATTCCCTGATGGGAATCACCTTTGGAGTAAAGCGATTTTCCTTGGCTAAACACAAGCAGCTCCATTAGCTACCATACACAGGCAGCCCACATGATTCTGGGCTGTACTGCCACAAGGTACGCTGCTGTTAAGAGGTTGGGAAGGTAGGGAAATAATCCTTAGAAGAAATGGGAGATGCATCATAGTCCTGCAGGACAAGGAACTCCTGGATACCGTACAAAATGTGGGATGCTGCCTGCTGCTCAGCCACACTGCATTGATGCCAGGGCTGGAGCCCCCATGGGAGAGGGTGCAGTATCTGCATGCACTTAGCAGTGCCTGGGACAGAAGCTGAACCAGGTTGCTCTGAGGCTGAGTTTCAGTGAAACTCTGTGCACTTTGCTGCTGTTCTAGGCAGTTAACACCTTGTAGCTACTCCTGTGCCTGCTTCAGCAAAACGTGCCTCTTCTGGATAGGTCTGGGAAGATTCATGTCTGTGTCTGCCTTTGGTAACTTATCAAAATGAGCAGCACGGATATGTTTTCTTGCAGCTCCTGTGGCACCTCCATGGCGAGGTCCCTCGTGGGTTGACTACTACTTCGTATTTCATTTTAAACTTTTGCAAGTCATCAGGGTAGGATTTTATACCTACAGTGCAAGGATGGAAATACCTATGTCAGTATTACCTGGGCATCCTGAGTATCCTGTGTAGACAATCCAGAGCTGGGCATCGCTTTCAGTCCGGTCGCAGCCGCACAGTACTCCAAATGGTGTATAAAACCTGCACGAGAAGATCATGTACTTAGCGGTGTGTTGAGTCCATTACCCTGCCCTAGCACAGGACCCCCAACCTGTGAACCATTTATTCTTTGTTCCTAGTTTTGCAAAATCCTCTTCCCTCGCGGAATACATTGTCAAATTCTGTAGCGGTGCCCGAGTCACTCGGTGCAGAAACTCCAGATGTCCTGTCCAGGAGCCGGAGCAGGTCAGGGTGGTGGGGCAGGCTGTGAGGGTGGTGGCTGGTCAAGGGCAGCTTGCAGTATGCGGAGTGGGGGTCACAGGAAGTGTCCCTTCCCAGTGCTATCACTGGTGGACAGCCATGAATTTTCTCTTCTTGTTCCTAGCAGAAGATGCTTTTTATCCCCTCCGCTTGTTACAGCGTAACAAATTCCCTTTATTGCCACTGCCTGGTAACAACCAGGCGCCCAGACTCCCTAACGCCGCACGTGTGTGTTGCCTCTTTGCACCAGCACGCCTCAGATCTCCAGCTTCTGTTACAAATCTCTTCCTTCGGGTGCAAAACCCTTTCCAGCATATTTGTGCTCAACCCAGGTATGGAATGGGCACGGAGTCTTGCTTTAAAAACAAACCTGAGCAGCTAGGCTTAAGCCAGGCAGTTTATGACTGGGTGCATCCCACTGAGCACAGCGATGCTCCAGCACAGCTCTGGTTTCCACACGGCCATCAGAAGCATGGCTGTGTCGTTCTGGGAACCGTAGTGGAAAAGGTGCGTCATCGGAGCAGCTGGTTGTCCTATCACAAAGCAATATCAAAATATAAAATTTATCTTGTTTATTTACAACAAATGATGGCTAGCAGGAGTCACTATAGAGCTGCAGTTGATGCGGTGGGCTAACAGCTGGCTGTGAGGGAGGTAGAGGTGGTGTGGTCCTGGATTTGTGTGCCTTACAGCATTACTGTCTTGGCCCAGGGGTGCTGGGCCATTGGACTCCCGTGATTCAGGATACTGTCAGCCTAGTCCAAAGCCCAGTGAAGTCAGTTGAGAAGGCTCTCATGAATGTAATGGGCTTTGCATCCAGCCTCAGGAGCACTGTACTACCTCCTTACTTTCAGAAATGAAGGACTGGTTTTTATATGGCTGTACACCTCCTCTGGGTTTTACTGTTGAGTTTTCTTAGCACATATTCAATTGATTGACCTTACCAGTAATATGTTATTTTATAGTGACTGTGAACACGGATATTCTAAAACTGTTTTTTCAGAACCTATTGAAAACAGTGGGAGACTTTCCATTGCCTTCAGTAAGCTCTGGATGCTCCCATTCACTCTACAGCATTACATTACATTTTTCCTTAGCGTTGCATGTTTTCCTTTGCTCAAAAAAGAGATACATGGGACCAACAGATGCCCAGTGAACGTTTGGTATCTCCCTGCACGGCAGTTAAGTGGTGGACTGTGTAACTCCAGTGACCCGCACAAAGAAGATTTCAGAAAGTTTGGGGCATGGGATGTTTTTTTAATTTAGGCCACTAATCCCCATAGGTTTAAACCAATCCCATGCTCAGTAATGCTGATTTGGGGGGAGCGGGGGAGATACCTTCCATCAGAGGATGAGGCTTTTTCTTGCATCTTCCTGTTGTTTTTCATCTTCTGTCTCCTTCCTGCGAGTGTGTTTGTTGCCTTCATTTCTTCCCGTTTGCTGTTATCACCCTTTTCTCTCTTTCTATGGTCCTTTTTTCCTCCTTTAGTGGTGCGCATATTGCCCCAGCCTTAACAGACATCAAAGAGATGTAAAGGTTGGGATGCCCCTTTTATAACGTGATAACCCTGCTGGTGTCACTGTGAATATTCATACATCTCCAGGCTGTAGGCAGCCCTGGGGTGAAGGAGCACCTCTCCACTACCGGTGGTGGGTCTGTGGTGCCAAGTTTGAACACAGCTAACTGCTTTGGTTCCATAATATCCTGCAGCAGCAGATTTTACAGGTTAATTCCAAGCTGCTATGAAGAGTCACACCTTTTTGTGCTGCACGTTCATTGGCCTTTGATCCCCCCTCTTCCCTGAGTCCTGGAGCAACAGCGCTGCTGTTACTTTTCCTGTAATTTTGGTGCCCATTTCTTGATTACTTCTTGTCATGCCCTTCTTTCCAGCTTAAATGATTCCAGTCATTTCACTCCTGTGATTATTCATTTCATTTCATTGCAGTGGTGGAGAATTGGCCTTTTATGTCCAGGTGTTGACCTACAGCATGCTCCACAAAAGTCACGTAGCATACCTGCGGTGCAGCATTTCCATCTGTAAACAGGCGTAAGAGCCAGGAAGCCAAACGGCAGGTCTTTGGAGAGAGGAGCTGGTGCTGTGCTCTTGTTGCTCCTCTTCCCTTCAGGAGGTTGAAGGAGGTGGTGAGGCCGGTGTAAGCAAACCCGCCCTGGGTGCTTCCCCCTCCCTTTCTTCTCTGGCTTGGTCCGGTGGGCACTGCTGCCTCCTTGGGTCTGGGGGGGCTGCTGACACCCTTTGCCTCACCATACTGTCATGCATTTAAGCTGAGGTGCAAAGATCTGTTGGAAATCTGAGGAAACGTTATTAATGGGGATGTGCAGAAGACATCTCAATCAGTGAACTGGGAATTGGATCAAATTGGGAATTTGAATTGCCCAAAGCCCCAGTGAGGTGATGGACAAATGGCTGGGAAGAACGGTTTCTTTTAAGTTGTTGGTGTGCGCAGCTGAGCTCCCAGCCAGTGGGATAGTCACTGCCTCCGTATAAATTACCGGGCTCCAAAGTACATTTTAAATACATGAATAATCATGAAACACAGGGAGCAGCTGAGCTGCTGCAGCTGAATTTCAGACTCAGCAAAGACAGGTGAGAAGTGAAGCTGAACTGACATCTCCATCTCGTAACATGTGTGCGAGAGGTGACAGCGAAGCTGGAGATCTGCTGTAAGATCAGAAGTGAATATCTGAGGCCAAGAGTGCAGATTAGGGCTCAGGAGATCTCCTCTTACATGAGCAGGCTTTGCTTGTTGCAGCCAGTTATTTTGATTTCTTAATCCAAAAGTAAATCCTTCTGGCATTGAGCTTGTGGGATAATAAATGAAAGAATAATTCAGTGCAATGGGAACTTCACGGTCAGCTCAAATAGATTCAACACCCAAACAGTGTGGTTTTCTGTGTAGGTGTCAGACGAAGACAAAGTGTGTGGATACCTGTTGCCTTTGCACTCTTGCTGACAATACATAAGCCTAAGTAGGTCAAACAGGAACAATACTAATTTTTGAAAGAGAACTATAAGCATTTCTAGTTTCTCTCTCTCCCTCTCTTCTTTTTTTTTCCCCAGGACTTTAATCTTTTATATGAAGAAGCAAAGTATTACCAGCTGCAGCCAATGATTAAGGAACTTGAGCGATGGAAACAAGAGAAAGAACAAAGGAAACATTTCCAGCCTTGTGACTGCTTGGTCGTAAGAGTGACTCCAGATCTGGGGGAAAGAATTGCATTGAGTGGGGAGAAAGCTTTAATAGAAGAGATCTTCCCAGAGACTGGGGACGTCATGTGCAACTCCGTAAACGCAGGCTGGAACCAGGACCCTACCCACGTTATTAGGTTTCCTTTGAACGGATACTGCCGGTTGAATTCAGTGCAGGTAATGGCCTTTCGGTGCTGGCTCATCTGTTTGCTGGGGTGGTTTTTTATTATTTTTTGTTCAATTATATGCAAATTATTTGCTTCTGCCCAATTACCTTCAGTGCTTATACTGCAAGGAGACATTTTCTGCCTGGTGAGATCACAGTCTTTCAGGTTTTCCTAAGTCTAAGCAGAAAAATAGATTTAGATTTTGTGTATGTTAGTGCCATGCTGGTCTCATAATGGTGTTATACTGATAAATGCTAATTTTTTCATCAATGTATAGCCCGCAGCAGGTTTTTTTTTCCTCCAAAGTGCCCCCAGGAAGAAAGAGAGAGTTCCAAAAACTACAAAAAAAAATCTCCACACCATTTTATAGAAAATGCAACAATGTGTAAATGCATAATTTATGTCTCACTCATAATTAAATGATGGTGCCTGCGGGATGGACTTAAAAAAATTGATCTCTGCACTTTTTTTTTTTTTCAAAAGGATGTTCTATAAAAATTGCCCAGAGTATTTTAAACAAAATGTATTTCATTTTATACTCAGAGTTTTGACATTAGGTTTAAAATTAAACATATGAAACAAAAGAAGATAACTGGACAGATAGGTGGATGGCAGTGGAAATAAATATGTGGCTTGTGTCTTGGCAGCAGCCTTATGGGCAAGAAATGCCATTTCACAGGGGATCACCGCCACTGCGGCCAAAGCTTTGGTGTTGTAGCTGTCCTTGGGCTGCGGAGAAGGAGCAGTGTTGATGATGCTGTTAACTTCTGCCTTAATTAACAAGGGCAAAACAGAGCTCTTGGTTTGTGCATGTACGCCATGAAAATATGCTGCAAATACTTGTATTATGGAAAGTGAATATATAGGGGAATACTTCCAAAGTTACACTCCCCTGCAGAGGTGCTAACTGGGCTGTGGGGAATGCCTTAGTGGTCTTGATAAACTCCCCTGTGGGCACATAGCTGCAGAAGACCCAGCCCGTGGGACAGGCTGGCCAGACAGTTTTGGGGGGAAGGTGTCAGAGCAAGGGAGGGCAAGAACCCAGAGCCCTTCCTTACCTGTGGTGTTACTACACAGCAAGCCAAGGCGCCCTCCGTCTCCCGAGTTGCCAGCTGAGAACCTTTCCGGGAGACCTGCGGATACCAGGGTGCGCAAAGGTGGATGGAGTCGTTCTAACAACCTGCATTTGACTCTGACACCTCCCTCCTCGGGGCAGCACCCCCTGCTGCACCCTGCACCAGCAGACGCTTTTGTCTGAACCCATTCTAAACCCAGCTGGTTTTGGTGATTTTTGGTTCCAGACTCCCAAGTGGTTTATTTGGTTGAACTTTAACAGTCTGATGCCTGTGGTTAGTTTTGCACAGTCCTTAGCGATTTCACATTTGGCAAGGTTTAGAGTGGGCTGCCCCAAAAATAGAAGGCTGGAGGTGGGCTGGAGGCAGATCTGTTTGCTGGCAGTGGGAACAGCGATGAATACGTCGCTGTGCTGGGTAGAGAAGGGAGCAGCTGCAGTTTAGCTAAAGTGAGCGCATAGGGAAGCGTGTTCGTGTCTCAGCCACGCCGTCCACGCGATGCCGTGAGATGTGTGCAAGAAATCAGAACAACTGAAACAACAAAGGGTAACCGCGAGCCACTGACGGCCTCCGCACTGCGAGCAGCCACTCAAAGCACTGGGTGCCCACCTGGCTTGGCACTTGGCTCTGTTTTATCCGAAGTAGCATAGTGGTAGGAAATGTGTGCTTGTAGTAAAAGCTGAATGCTAATTATTGTTGTTATTTGAATGTGTTTTGAATTTGGTCAAAATTCAGACAGAATCAAAGAGTCTCTTCACAGGTTCATGTTGTGGAAAAAAAAAAATTCTGTCAAAGAGTCTACAGTCTAAGTAGTATTATTAAATTACATCATTTTACTAAATTACATAATTTTACTGTATAATTAATAGAAAGTGTTTTCAAACACTTTCTGGAAAATGATGCATTTCTGACACCAAAGGCTGATGAAATCAGCAGCTAATTATCATGGGCTCTGATGGACTCTGGTCAGCACATAGGCACTGCCCGCCCCTTCCCAGGATTTTTTGGCAAAACAGTATTACATCAGAAGTTGGAGGTACAGTGAAGTGAATGCACAGACTTAAGCAAGATCGGTTGGAAGGGGCAGTGGCTGGAAGAGCAGAACCATTTCCAAAGAATCTCCTAAGAGAACGATGCGGTAAGTCTGCGGGCTGTCTGCCGAGATACATCTCTTCAGTCTCCCTGTGCCCTGCTGAATGTATTTGGTAGCAGAACTGCAATGCTTACAAATTCTTTGGATCTTTGGAAAATATTTTCATTAAATGTTTTGTGTCAAGAACTGTGCATATAAGCCAAGGAATGTCAACATTGAGTAGGTAGTGGCAGCCAAAAACGATACAGTATCTCTTAATTTAACACCCATTTGTAATTACATAGAAGTGTAGAGTTTTCTTAAGACTGACACCATTTTTTTCAACTCCTTGCAACAAGTTCTGGTGAGATACTTGATCTTACCTTAGAAAATTCTGTGACGCTTGTGTATATTGAACACCGAGTCTTCATAATTAAGAACATACTCATTAGTATTCTGCAAAATTTAAATGAAATGCAGTAAGTGAAAGTATCATGTTTCTATTTAAAAAAATCTTCCAACAAAATCAGATGTGCTTGGAATACTGGAAGACAGAGTATATGAAATCCTAGCCCAAATCCTCTATTTAATATTGTGTGTGTGTGTTTCCCTATACGTAGGAGAATCACAGCTGACACTCATTTACTTTTTGGCATATTCTCTTTGGAGATTTACAGGAAAGTAGCTCTGATGTGATTGAGAGACGCTTACTGGTTTCCCTCTGTATCTTACCTTCAGAGAAAGTAACGTGCATGGAGCCAAATTCACTAAATGGCGTTTAAAACTGTTGGTGTTCATCATGCCGTTTAGTCTTGTGCGCGCACCGGCGCATACAAACCAGAGCTCAGCGCAAGCTCAGCGCACATGGAAGCAGCCTTTAGGAGCCTTTTCCCACAGACCTGAGGCTCAACTGCATCCAAGTTACACTTAAAACTCGACAATATTTAAACATTCTCAGCATTGTTTACTGGATTTGGCCTGTTTTGTTTCCTGCTG